AACTTAGAAAGTTCATATCTCTCTCCCAAGTCCCATAATTCTCTACACCTCTTCACCTTCTCTCTTTGATTTTTATCTCTCATCTCTCTAAAGATCAAGCAGTTTGTCTCTCTCTCCCAAAAGAGATGTCACGCGCCAACCTAGAAAGATCATCTATCCCTCTTCGGGTTCCAAAGGTGGCATGCCCAATATTTTTTTGATCTCTCTCTCTCGTGGGGCACACTTAAGCTTTGCTAAAGTTTGTGGGTAGCACAGGCGAGGATCCTCTAGCTAGTAGATCTCTTCCTCTCTCTTTATTTATATATTTCATCTATCTAAAGATCAAGTCAAGGGAGCTCGAGCAAGACTAAGGTATTGAGGTCTTAGGTAGTTGGTTCGAGAGATAAAGCCAAGTGGGCTTGAGCAAGACTACAGCATTGAGGTCTTAGGTAGTTGGTTCGAAATCAAGATTCATATGCCATTGAGATAATTTTGATCATAAGTAAGAGAATCAAGAGACCGATTATAGATCCCGATCACTATCGAAAGGAGGACACTCAATGTGGGTTGTACTAAGCCCAGTTAAGGTAATGTCCGATAATTTTACTTCTTTAAAACTTTAAGGGCCATTTGGTTACCTGGAAATATATTGTCAGTGAAATTTATTACGGGAGTAATACATTACTTGCAAATGGATCGTCACTGTTTGCGTAGTATTTAAGTGCAACTTGGGAAATACATTGTTACTGTTTGGCTATGTTTAGAAGAAATATAAGAAATGCATTACCACCCAAATATGAAAAATATGGCTATGTTTGACTAACATGATTAGACTTTGGTTTCAACATGATAAGTCATTGGAATTATATGATTGGAATAACATGATTTTGTTGTGATAAGTCTTTTTTTATTTATTTTTTATAGAAGTCTTTCAAATGTCAGTCTATATATAATTTCAAATAAGCAATTAACTTTTATGATACCAAAATCAAATTCTTTATGGTACAAATTAAAAAATGTGAAGAAGTTTGATTAGTAAACTAGAAGGTTTGGTAATTACAACAGAAAATTTTGAAGCAGTGGAGGAGACTAAAGATGTATCTTATTTCAATTGAGCTTTTAATATCTTATGAGGATTATGTTTTGTTAAATTTTTTATTATGATCGTGTTGTGTAATTTCTCATCGATTACCCATTATTATTTTAATTATTTTTGTTTTTATACTACACCTGAGACAACCCAAATTAGGGATAGAGGTATGTTGAAATATTTTTATTATGATTGCACTAGAAAATTGTCCATCATCAAGTTCTACATTTGTTCAAATCAATTTAGATTTCCCTCTACTTTCACTTACCAATTATTAAAAAAAATTGTTTTTATATGAGAGTGAGATGAGGGCTACAATCCAAATTGGGGATAGAGGGATATATAAATTTTTTAATATGATTGCAGTAGAAAATTGTCCTGCTACAACTGTTCAAATCAATTTAGATTCCCCTTTTCATATCCTCTACTTACACTTTCTACTTACCTTAACAATTATACAATATAGCGTATATTTGAGAGAGAAAAATGTTTTTTTAAGCGGGGCTCGAGAAGAGAGACGCACTCGAAAGATTTCAAAACATTACCCATCAACCTCGTTATAGATTTTTCACCCCTCACTGCGCGTAATGGATTTCATGATTTTGGGAGAAATCTCGTGTAATCTCAGGTAACGTCTTTCTATTTCCTTACTATTAAAGTGTACCCAAACAACGTAAATGTCATATTTCCTTGTAATCTATTGTCACGTAATAGATTTCCAGGTACCCAAACAGCCCCTTATTTGTGATTTGCTCATCTTCTTATAAAACAATGAATTTGATTGTTGAATAAAGTTTTATATTTAAAGAGGTAGCAAGTGAGAACCGGCTTTGGTTTATTTTTATTTATTTGTAGGGTGATTTGTTTGTAATTGGACATTGTAAGTGATCTTGTCGGTGTAGGAATAAAGAAATTTTTTAAATAGATACGCCGTGCTTTATCACAAAGTTCTTCTTTCAATAAAACCATGGCCTCTTGGTTCTCTTCCATCTGTGCCATGCCTGGTTTTTATGGTACACATACTCTAGATGTTTCCTTTGGGATCATCTCAATGTTTAGAAAAATAAGTAGCAGCACTTTTGGAATTCAATGTCTACCTTGGTTATCCCAGCAAATGCTTGAAAGCTGAAGCCATCGGATTCTTGAATTCATAGAAAGCATTGGATTGTTGTTCTTGGGAAGGTGTCACGTGTTGCGACTTGGACTGCATTAAGTGTGATTCCATTGCTGCTATGGCGAATCCGGTGGTCGATTTAGATTTTTATTCCTGACTTAATTTAGGAAAATGAGATCATAACGTTACTTAGCTTGTTAGGGTTGAACACTTGCAGTCACTTGTCAAGTGGACTGCAACATGGGTGGCTTCTTTTTGTTTTGGGTAACTAAAGAGTTTTTGGGTAAGTGAAAGGTAAGTTTGTGGGTATTTGAATTCCTACCATTTGGTAAGAAAGGAGTCAGAGACTTCGTCATAGAGAACATGGGTGGCTTTTTGCCCATCAAAGGTGCGAGTCTAATGCATTTTCATTTGTAAATTTCAATTTTTGATGGCGAATACATCGAAATTCAAAAACCGCAAAATGTTTTTTTCAAGTTCATTCGTCGAAATACCAATTGGTTGATTCAGTTTTCAAACTACTAACATGAAATAAGCAGGTCTCCATGTTTTATGATATTCTCTAGAGGTGTTTTATGAACTTTTCTTGAGGAAAGAAATATGAGAAAATGAATAAGTTTTTTTAGTGCAAAAGGAATAGTTATAGTCAAAGAAAGAGAAAAATGGAACGCCTTCCCGGTTATTATCATACATGACAATTGTCAATTTCATAATTTCACTTTTTAAATCTGGAAGGATTTATATATATGGTTAGTTTTAGTTAGGAGCTTATTGGTTTTATTTCAAAGCCAATGACATTTTTCATGTTTTCCGAATGAGTAACTCATTTTTCATGGTGAGTTCTTGTTGGATTTTTTCTCTGTAGGCTGACCTTGTTTTTCCGGTGTTTGCAGAGCTTTCCAAACTGAAGAAGCTCCAGCAATTGTATTTAGGGTCAAATTTTTTCTCTGGTATGCTGCCTGTAGAGATAGGTTTGCTATCATCTCTTCGTACACTTGATCTAAGCACTAACAAACTACAGGGGAGCATACCTCATTCCTTGGAAAATTTGCCCTCCCTTGTAAAACTCTCTATTGGAGATAATCACCTTATAGGATCCATCCCGCAAGAGATAAGTAAGCTTCAAAATTTGGAGCGTTTGGATATCTCCAATAATTCCTTATCAGGTGACTTCTCTTTTTCTACCCTATCAAATCTTTCCCACCTTGATAGTGTGGACCTTAAGACTAACAGCGGGTTTCTCATTTTGCAAGGAAGCGACTTCAATCCGTCTTTCCAACTATCGGAACTCTAGTTATCGTCCTGCTACGTGAGCAAATTCGACATTGGTACATCCTTTCTTTCCACTCACCACTCTTTCGAAGTCATCTATTTCTAGTATGATAAATTGTGAGGGAGTGTCCCACCATGGCTTCCACAACTTTATGGTTTTGTCATCTCATATACAATTTTAGTGGAGAGAAACCTAAGAATTTCTCAATCCATTTTCGAGACCTGGATATTTCACACAACTTTCGGGACATAGCTTCTGTCTTGAGTAGTTTCGATGTCCCTCATATCGATTCTTTTGATAGGTCCTCCAACAAGTTTTATGAAAGATTACCATCTAATATGACCGGTAATTTTTTGTCGCTAGACTTGTCTAACAACAACATATCTGGAAATCTACCTCACAATCTTACTCTCGTGTATACGCCAGTGGTCATAGACATTGGAGCCAATTATATGTCGAGTCTCATCCCAAGAGAGATTGCAGAAACCTCTAATTTACAGGTCCTAATCTTGAAAGAAAACCGGTTTTAAGGTAATATTCCTGATGAAATATGTCAACTACAGCAACTGGCCATTTTGGATCTATCATAAAACAACTTTGAGGGATCCATACCTTCTTGCTTCCATAAGAACTCTGCTTGGGTAAATGGTAGCAGAACCACCATAAGGGCTAGCACGGATGCGCATGTGGGTTTGGAAAACGAATATGTTGAGGTGGTGAATTTCTACAAGGGCAATGAGTATGGGTACAGTGGAATAGTTCTCTCTGTTGTAACAGGAATTGATCTCTCCTTGAGCCATCTTAGCGGCCCCATCCCAATGGACATTGGCATCTTAAAAGGACTTAATTGTATTGAATATCTCCAACAATCATCCCAATGGGACGATCCCAGATTCGTTTGCAGAGTTGTCTCAGATTGAAGTACTGGATCTCTCACATAATATGCTCAAGGGCAGGATACCATGTGATTTAGGTTCCCTAATTCTTTAAGCCAATTTTCAGTTGCATATAATGATTTAGAAGGTGCAGTTCCCATTGTAAACAATTTTCAAACCTTTGAAGAAAGTTCCTATTGTGGAAATCCTAAGCTTTGTTGTTATCTAGGGAAAGAGTGCTCTGAAAATCCTAAGCTTTGTGGTCATCCAAGGAAAAAGTGCTCTCAGCTCCAACAGGAAGACAAGGAAAATGAAGAGAAAATTTCAAGATGGGTGGGGGACAAGCCTGTGCTCTGTGCTTGCATTGCCCTGGGGTTTATAGTTGGTTTTTCGGGTGTACTTTGGTTTCTTTTTCTAAGCAAGAAGTGGAGGTTTGTATGGTTTAAGGCCATGGATGGACCGTTTCATCGTGTTTTCTGTGGTCATGAGTGATTTCCTTATGCTTTTTTTTTGTAAGAGGTGAGGGTATTTTGATTATTTTATTTTATCAATAAGATTGTGGTTTTTAGGTGTGATTTCATAAGGCACATAAAAAATGTTAAGCTTTTCTTTATGCTTGTATTCTTATGTTTTAAATTTCCATTTGCTATCGCACATAATGGCCAAACTGGGTCGGGCCACCTAGCCAATGGCCATAGTTCGGCATGGGCTATGATCTCTTCTACTTGAACCAGATCTAGGCTCTAGGGACTAGGCTAGCCTTATTCATAAGGTATCCTCTCAACCAGGGAAATTTCAAATGAGATACCACAAGCATATTTCTGAACTTTACAATGCGATTGGGATTGGGAGTGTAATAGATGAGGGGAAATGGAGGAGTTGGAAAGAGAATGGCACGTGGGTCCTCTTTCATTCTACAAAGGAGTGAATTACATGGACACAAAAGAAGCGCTGAAAATATAAAATGAGTTAATTTTGAGTTAAAATTAAATGAAAGGTCAGCCAACATAAGGTTTTGTTTTTCAAAATTGTCGTTTAGTTCGAGAATAACATCCTCGAGCCGTTTTAGTTCTTCTGTAGTGCTCATCAAAACAGTCCGAGGTCAGCATTGCCTTCTGTATTGCTCATCAAAACAGTCCGAGGTCAGCATCGTTAGACTGTAAAGACTAATTGTGTTAAGCATTTAGAGGCCATCGAAGCTGCCCATTCTCGGACCTTCTTCTCTAGTGCTCTTTAGGGCGGTCCAAGTTTGGCATCCTCGGACTGCAGTAGCTCATTTATTTATAAGAAATAAGGCGGTCTGAGGGTGCCAACCTCAAACTGCCTTCTGGACTGGGCATTGCCCCTCACACTAGGGCACTGCTTAATAACGAAAAATCAAAAAATAAAAATAAAAAAGGCGGTCTGATGATGGCACTCGAACCAATAGGCAATCTTGAAAAAAAAACACGGGTTGATCGACATTCCACATATTTTTGACTAAAATTCATAACAATTTGTATTTTCATTTTTATTAGCTGTACATAAATTACTCTTATGAAAATTGACGGCTTATTCATCAAAGTGAACTCTTGGATATTAAAGAGTGGGCTATTAGGGGAAGAACTTAAATGATGGCCCGGTGTATAACTGTATTTCGTTTCATCAGAATTAGATTGGAAAATATAAAATGGTCAGGGCGTTCCTTTAAAAGATAAAGATGATATTCTAGGCTATGTTTTGAGTAATGGATTATTTGCTCTCAATTTGAAGAATAGGGATGATTTTTAATAGTGGAAAATATCTAGAGAAAATAATCAAGGAATAAAATCTGGTGGTGCGTTAATATGGAAAAAATCATCTATTAGTACCTCACAAAAAAATACAGTTTTGGTGCTTAAAAACCCTCAAATTGATTGTATCGACCTCAATAACTATGAATATGAGAGAAAAATAGATTTCAAGCTCCAAAAATAATGTAATCCTCGTAAAGTGTTTAACACATCTAGGAAATAAAATTGTATAGAGAAAACTAGGAACCACATTGAGAAGTGCAGTTTCAATACTTAAAATCCTCAAACATAAGGAAAAGAACATATTTCAAGCTCCAAAATTGGTGTATCTTGTAATTGCTCTTATTTAACATGTCTACATAATTTTTAGAGAGTTTATTCAAGTTTCATAATTATAAGCGAAAATAGATTTTTAGGTCATCAATCGGTTTATCAATGCATAAGCTAATTTTCCACACCTTATGAAAATTTTAGTGGAGTATACTAAGATTTTTTGGGAGTACAAATCCCACAAGAAAGAGTAACAAGTAACACGGTATTGCAATTTTTTTCTTTTGTTTTTTTAAGGGGGGCAGTCAGAATAGTCAGTTTTTTAATTTATTAGTAAGAATAAAGGTCAAGACTTTTAACTGGAGCTTAGGTGGTACTACCACTATAACCCGAGCCCATTTCCAAGGATATTGTAGTTAGAAGAGATTTAAAGAAATAAAGACGTGTAACTAAGAGAGTTTTCGCTCTGGTCAAGGCATATTCATCCATCATGGGTTTTGTACTTTTCACAAATTCTCAAATTACCATAAGATCCTACATGTTCAAAATCAAACAAATTAAGTTTAAAAGTTTTATTTTATTTTATTTTCATTGGATTTATTTTTTAATTTTCATTTTATCTAGTTACTCCTCTATAATACTTCCCTTTCAAGATTAGAACCCTAAACAAGCAGCAGCACTGTAGTGATTTGATCCACCTAAGATACCTCAATCAAATATGGATGTAACCCTACTTGATCAAGGTGGGTCAAATTACTAAAATTTCCCTGCATGTTTGGGCTTCCCAACCATAAATAAGGACATACTTTTAGATATTTTTGAGGTGATGCATGAATGAAATAAAAATTAAAAAGGAATCCTTAGTAATTGGGATATTCAGTTTCATAAAAAAAAAAAATTGGGATATGCACTTTGTGAGGGATTTTTTGCCCTTAAATAATAACATTTTCCTTAAGTTTTATGGTAACTTCTATAGTTGCTCTTTAAATGGATATATCTTGACGAGCATGCTGGGTGCAAGACCCAAAATCTTTTTTTTTTTAATTTGAACCATTTTTGTGATAGTTTGTATTTTGGTTGGTCGATCACCTATTTTAAAGGTGGGAAACGTGTACAAAGATAATCATTTGCTTTTAGTATAAGCGGCTACAATCAGTCTTTTCTATCAATTTTCAAAGCGGGTGGTGTGAGTGGATCTTTTACTTGACTCAAAGTCAACAAAAAAAAAAAAAAGTGAAAAAAGAAAAATATAATTCTTGAACTTCATGATACCCATGAAATCGAGTAATTATAATAAAGATGAACGGCTTCATAGGATACAGTCCTCATTTGGAAAACCTTGTCGCAGTAGATAACCGGGGACCAGGTCTCTACCACGGGTAGAATGGCAATTTGTTATCTTTTTATGTTAGTTTTATCCATTTGGATGAATGTTTTGCTAAAATTATGGAAGCGTTTTTGGCAACATTATTTATATATGAGGGAACCCTTATGTAGGTCGTCTTTTTTTGGAATATTAATTTGGAGCAAAAGCAAATTTTGGGTAAATAAACATAGAAGAAGAACCAATTTTATTTTCACATCTAATGAGTGGAAAAGATTGACCTCAACGTACAAATAATAAATGGTCTCTTTGTTGACAATCGCTTTCGAAAATACTCCCTACTACCGTTTCACATGGGCAAGCAAGCGTGTCGCCTACCAAAAAAAAGGAATTACCATATATTTTTCTACATTATAGAGCAATCTGAGTTGTAAATTTTGATTAATTTTCTAAAGAGTGTTTCGGAGATACGAAATATTCAGTTTTTCCTTTTTCCACAGTTATGCCTATGTTACCATTTACTATTGGGAAAAGTTTTTATAGAGCCGAGGCTCTAAACAATCAAATTGGAGCCTACAATAAAAATTTCACTAGAAGTGGTTGTTTTGATGCTCAAATATCTTCAAATTGATCATCTCGACATCAAGATGTATGGACATGAGAAAAAAATAGATTTCAAGTTTTAGAAATAGTGTATTTTGTAACGCATATTTTTATTGTCAAAGATGAAAATAAAGATGAAAATAGTGTATTTTGTAACGCATATTAAGCTTTAAACTTCATAAATAAAGATGAAAATATATTTTAAAGCTATTACAAAAATTTTCAGTATTGAAACCACATTTCTCAAAACTATTTCAAGGTAGGTTTTAATGTGATTGTTTAGAGCCTAGGCTCTATACAAACTGCACCCTTTATTAATTATACAATTTACAAAAATGTAACAAATAACAAGGACCTACTAATTGTTCTATCTTTTGACTGGATGGCTTCTCTTCATTCTATTCCATACATCTTGAGGTCAAGATGATTAATTTGAGGGTTTTTCAGCATCAAAACATTTTTTCTATAGGTTTTTTAGGTTTACTTTCCCTCAATAATATAAAGTCGACATCTTGTATAAACCTCTGCTTTTAAAAAAAAAAAAGAAAAAGAAGAAAGTAGATCCGCTTTCTTTGCAAATACATAAAAGTTGACCATAGTCGAGAATATTGAATACTAAAATACCCTTAAACGGACCTAAAATTATTCTAATTAGTGAAAAAAAGGTAAAGCGAAGAGTATTTAGCCATAGCACCAGCCACACTAGATTAGTATTTTAAAGTTCATCAATTCGGATCAATTTGGATTGGAAATTGTCAATCTAGAACGGTAATCATTCGAGTCAAGCCGATTTTCGGCAAGTATAAAAAATCGACCCTATCCCTTCTAAAAATCCCTTCTATTTGTGTTTGGTTGTCTTTTCATTTCCCTCATTATTTCGTTACTTTACAATACTACCCCATTTTGTAGGTCTGTTAGAGCTTATTTCCTCTCTTCTTCTTTTTCATTTTTTTTTATTCGGCCAAATCCTATCCAGCCGATCACGATCAAGACTCGGTAGACAAATGATCCACGCCACTAATCCGTATTTTAAAACACTAATCTAGACTATACAAGACACCGTGAGCATCTCATGTTGTGTGGCTCCAATGTGAATCACAGCTCAAAACACATTCAAATGGATGAAACGCAATAGCATACAAGACACTGACACTCACCAGGTAAGCATTGTGGAATAAGCTCTCCTTGTAAGCATGGTATTGAATCCATTCCCTATGCTGCAACATTAATGAGAGGCCGCGGTTGTCACTGATTTTAGCGAATAATATTGCAGCCAAAGCAATGCACCTGCAAGTAGAGCTGCCATCTGGGCCGGGTCAGTTCGCAGGTCTCATCGCACGGCTTGGCCTAAGGCCGGGTCTAGAGTCTGGACCCATTTTAAAGTCCACAAGATGACTTGGACATGATATGCTAGAGCTGAACAATTTTTTGGTTGGGTGAGGGAACTTGGGCCCAGCCCGACCCTAGTCTAAATTGTATATAACATATATTTAGGACAATTGATTAGACTAGTTCGAAATATC